AAGTGTCGAAAGCATTTCAATCAAGAATGTAGTGGACATCATATACAATTTTCCATTTTTTTTTTTTTTTTTACTAATTTCATAGTGATGTGAAATTGACGCCCACCAACAATTTCAAATTCATTAATTTGGCCCCCAACCTACCAAAATATTATTAATTTGTGGTCACATAATTGTAAAAGCCAAGAAAAAAAAAGTATTGTTTGATCATAATGCTTGCAAGCAACTTCACAAAATTCCACTAAATTGGCTCTTCGTCTTGATAGTCATTTAAAAGCAATAATTGCAGCAAAAGTCCCAAATCTTTGAAACATTAGCAGATTTTTTTCAAATCTTTGATTTGTTGCAATCGTCACCCCTAACATTTTCAACCATTGCATGTGAGGCCCTGTTGGATGGTTTCCATCCATTTTTCCGTCGGTTAACCCAAAAATTAAGTTTCACCATATTTTTAATCAATTAAAAGGGGGGCAAAAGGGTAAATATCTATTAAAATAATTAAAATTGTGATCTGACCCCTGAATGATAATTGAAACCAAAGGCTTGAAATTTAACAAATTTCATATGAAGCCCCGTCCCCAACTAATAGTAAGCCTATTAGCAGAAATTGACGTCAACAGTGATGATCAATATATGTTTGGGGATAAATGTGGAGCCAAGGAGTCTGAACTTCTAGAATAAACAAAGGTTAACATATTAGTTGACAATCCAAGTTTTTGAGTTCAATGTGAACATATATAAGAAATGAACCAACGATTGGATGGTGCAGTGGAATAAAACTGCCACTGCCTTTGCTTTCGGTGCAGTGGAATAAAACTAATCATTTTCCATGGATTACAAAATGATCCACCAATAAGTACTAGTACAGGTAAGTTCGACTAACAATGACCATCCTATCTGGCGCTTGATTTCCTTGTTTTAGGGAATTCGAAGAGAAACGAAGACCGGGCAAAATTCATTTATACCAAAGTGGACTGTAGAGTTTTGAACACTACTGAAAAGAAAGAAGTTGTAATCTTATCCATTATATCGTCGAGTCTTACATACCATTATGACCATCGTGGCATGCAAAGCTTCACATTTCTTGACTTGGTACTACCATTTCTCATAGATTTAAAAGCAAATTCTTCACTTCCTGGGGAAATCTTCTTCCTTTTCAAGAATTCATGCTAGTTTTTTCCGTTTAATACTGCATGAGAATTAAGGCCTTCCTTGTCGACCAAGTCCGTTTAACAGAAAGCCATCTGTATCTGGTATGGAATCGTCAAGTATTAGGGTGTCATAAAATTCATATCTTGTGTCTCTTTCGAAGAAATTTTCCGATTTTGTTGACAAAAATATCATACTTTTTCTCTGTCTTCCACTGAAATCCACTTATAAGTTCTTTAGTTCTTCTAAAGATTCAACCAAAATTCACATCCATGGATGCCAAATTTCTTCACTTTCTTTCTCTTACCGTCTTTCTCATCCATTTCTCAACTGCTTTCATTCCCCAAGATAATTTTCTTATCAACTGTGGATCAAGCATAAACACTATTGTAGTCCAGAACAGATACTTCACTGGGGATTCATCCAAGAATGGTTCTTCGTATCTATCTAAAGGTAAATCGATTTCTCTCACGAATCCAATCCCAGCATCAAATTCTTCTGTACTTCACAGTACAGCTAGAGTTTTCACTTCTGTTTCAAGCTATAAATTCAACATAAAAAACAATGGATTCCACTTAGTCCGTCTTCATTTCTCTCCATTCAGTTCTCAGGATTATGATCTCAAGAATGCGAATTTCGTAGTTTCAGCTAATGGAAATTCACTTTTAAGCAACTTTTCAGCTCAGTTTACTATCCTTAAAGAGTTTATCTTGATGGTTAATAGAGATGAGCTTGAAATTCTTTTCATGCCAACTCGTGATTCCAATTTTGCATATGTGAATGCAATTGAAGTGTTTTCAGCACCAAAAGATTTCATTATTGACGAAGGGATAACATTGATTAGTCCTAATGGAATTCAAGACTTTAAGCAGAATATTTCGTCCAAAATTTTAGAAACTGTTCATAGGATTAATGTTGGAGGACCAAAATTAACCCCTTTTAATGATACCCTTTGGAGAAATTGGATTCCAGATGAAGATTTTCTTGTCTTGACATCTGCTGCAAAAATTGCTAAGACTATTAATCCTCCTAATTACCAACCAGGAGGTGCCACTAGAGAAATTGCCCCAGACAATGTATACATGACTGCACAACAGATGAATATAGATAAGCGAAGCTCTAATTTTATGTTCAATATAACATGGGATTTTCCTGTAAGATCGGAGGATTCTCTGCACTTTGTTCGTTTGCATTTCTGTGACATTGTTAGCATTGCACTTCAGACGTTGTACTTCAACGTATATATAAACGGGATCATTGCATTCAAAGATCTTGATTTGTCTCTGCTTGCATTCCATGAGCTTGCGTCGCCTATTTTCGTTGATTTTGTTGTACAAAGCTTGGATAACTCAAACATTGTTCGGATTAGTGTTGGTCCTTCTGACCTCAGTAATATTTTAAGGAAGAATGCTATTTTAAATGGGGTTGAGATTATGAAAATAGTGAATCCTGTGGGTTCAGATAAGAGGGCTAAGACGAAAAACATTTGGATTTTGGTTGGTTCAGTTGGAGGTGGATCTTTTGTGTTAAGCTTAGCAATTCTTAGTACATTGGTAGTACTCAAATGCAGAAGGAGAAAACCCGAACCAAGACTTGTTGAAAGCACAGGATGGACTCCTGTTCGTGTAAACGGAGTCAGCTCCCATGGCACGTTGTTGGAAGGGGAGGTTCTTGGTTATGGTTTGAAAATTCCTTTTGCTGATATACAACTGGCTACAAATAATTTTGACAAGAGTCTGATAATTGGCTCGGGTGGTTTTGGCATAGTCTATAAAGGGATTCTCCAAGAGAACTTGCGAGTTGCTGTCAAACGACGTTTGCCTGGTAACAAGCAGGGACTACCCGAATTCCAAACTGAAATAACAGTTTTGTCGAGGATTCGCCATCATCACCTTGTTTCACTAGTGGGCTACTGTGAAGAACAATCTGAAATGATACTTGTTTACGAGTATGTGGAGAAAGGGCCTTTAAGGAATCATTTATATGGTTCTGGATTACCCCCTTTATCTTGGAAACAAAGGCTAGAAATATGCATTGGTGCAGCTAGAGGTCTACATTACCTTCATACAGGTTCCGCACAAGGGATTATCCATCGTGACATAAAATCGACTAACATTTTACTCGATGCCAATTATGTTGCTAAGGTTGGTGATTTTGGCCTCTCAAAATCTGGCCCGTGTCTTGACGAGACTCATGTAAGTACAGGTGTCAAAGGCAGCTTCGGCTACCTTGATCCTGAGTATTTTCGTAGGCAGCAGTTGACAGACAAATCTGATGTTTATTCATTTGGGGTTGTGCTTTTCGAGGTTCTTTGTGCACGACCTGCAGTGGATCCACTGCTTGACCGTGAGAAGGTGCATTTAGGTGAATGGGCTATGGAATGGCAAAAGAAAGGTATGGTTGAACAAATTGTTGACCATTGTATCAGAGGACAGATAAAACCAAGTTCATTGAAGAAATTTAGTGAAACAGCAGAGAAATGTTTGGCTGATTATGGTGTTGATAGGCCTACTATGGGTGATGTCTTGTGGAATTTGGAACACGCGCTTCGACTTCAAGAAAGTGAAATGCAAATAGAATCTCAAGCTGAAACCGATGTATCTCCTAGATTTGTTCCCGGAGTTGGTGTTGGGGTCGAGGGGGATAGCAACGATGTTTCTTCAGATATAACAACGAGCCGAGTTTTCTCCCAGTTGATAACTAATGAAGGCAGATAGATCACAGTACAAAAAGCAATTTCCAATGTCAAAAGTTTTTTACTCGTTTTCATTTTTGTTTTCATTTTCTACATATCTAGTACAGAACTTTAGGCTGCTTGTTCTGCAGTCTCAGATTGATAGTATAAATTGCATAAACTGAGATACAGAATTGCAATAGTTGTGTCACTCAACAGATTTATGCTATGCTAGTCTGAAGAGTTAATTGTTTCATTAGCCACTGAACTTTCATACATGTCACGGTTTACCCACTCACCTTTAAAACTTATCCCACTGACCACTCAACTTTAAACCGTCCCACTCCGTTGGCCACTGGATCAAAACTGTTAGTAACGTTGTCCACATGGCTGATGGAAAGATGACGTGGCACGTTAAATTCCACGTCAATGCCATATGTTCAAGTGGATTACTCACCGAATTTTTCTCCATGTCGCGGATTACTCACCGAACTTTGCTCCTTGTCGCGGATTACCCACTGAACTTTGTTATATGTCACGGATTACTCACCGAACTTTGTTCTATGTCATAGTTTACTCACCGAACTTCCAAAATTGTCCCGTTGGCCACCGAACTTCACTC